GAAAACCAATGACACTGCATATTAAAAATATTTTTAATGGTGTCTGAATTTGACTGTTTTAGCCGTCCTTTGTAAAACCTTTCTGCGGTACGTTATTTTTAGGATGCTCACGACAAAACGTGCTAGCGATCTTTACTCAGTGTCAGCCCCGCCTGCTCGCTCATCACAAGTGTCTTAGTCAAGTGAACGTGCACATCATTATCTTTAAGTGTTTTGGCACCAGGTGGGCGTAATGTGTGTGCATTGATTTATTTTTACTTTTCATTTTTTTTTAAACCACTCTCTTAAAACTGCTCTAGTTTTCCACTTTTGTGTTTGTGGGGATGGAGGGTGTCGGTCTGGCATGTGCTGTATGTTGTGATTTGCTGGGAGAAAAATATCTGCTATGGTGAATTTTACAATAAGAAAAAAAAAAGACAGAATAGATAGTATTAATTCAAATCTTCTTCACTCTAAAGCCTTACTTATGTTTGCCTTGTATGATGAAGAACATTCTAACTTGGGAGTACTTTCTTTAAAGATGTTTCTATCAATTTTTATCTGTGGGATGAAAGTGATTTGTAACAATATTGTGCCATCGGGTTTTGTCTACATGTCACGAGCAGAACTTGTTAAAATTGTGTTTCACTTACCAGGTGCTCCGCTTTTCAGCAGTTTTGGTATTGTTGTCTTCTCCAAAGGGTACTTTCAGGTCTTCAAATCAGCAAGATCTAGTGTTACTATCAATGGTATTGTTATTTTTTATGATTTTTGTCTAAGCTGTCAGTTCTTCTTACTTGCAATAAACGAGTCCTGTATGCCTCCTAAGGAAAAAATTCAGATGACCACTGCCATGTCCTAATTTCTGTCCATTCACAGTGACTCTGTAACAGCCTTATTGTACCATTTATAGATTAATTTAATTGTCAAAATCTGCATTTTGATAACTGTCTTTATTAATATTCCAACATTTGTATGAAGACTTAACTGAAATTAATAAAGTGAAGCATTCCTACAGTCCAATACTGTACTAATATCTCAATAAAAACGTGCCGTGCTGCATAGCCTTGCTACTATCCATGCTGAGATTTATGCAGAATAGAAACCCGATGCTGGCCTCTCATGTCCATAGTGTTATCTGGGGCTGCTTCCTCTCATTAGACATGTATGTATTTCTTACTTGGGAGAGAAGAGACCTCGGGCCTCTCACCAGGGCAGTTTAAAAACCGTGTGCAAAGCTAAATATAGAAAGTGCAACACTCTGATTTCCACCACTCTTGGATAGTAACTATTTTGGGGCACAGCCTGCTTAGCCTGAGAGTCTGTTTTTCTTCTCTGCTGGTGGCCTCTTGGGTCTCTCTGACCTTGTTTCATGGCAGCTGGTGGGTACAGAGCTTTTTACGTTTTCTGCTCCACACAATGGGAAGATCATACAGGAATGACATATTGTCAGCTATTGTAACAACTACAGAAATACAGGGCTGGATGTGACAGTTCTCACACATACAGCCACGTAGTGATGGAAAAAAAAAAACCCAAAACAATGTCACCTATTATTGTTCAAAAGCTACACAGGCGAAACTCTCCTCTTGTTTTCTCACGGTGCTCGTCCCTCAGAGATCAAATGTCACTGCAGGAAACATGAGCGTTGTTAGTATTGTACAGACTATTAAAAATAGAGACTTGTAATGGAAACTTTAGAGGGGACCTGTTCTCATTTCTAACTCCATGTTTTTATTAACCGACTCTACTAAAGTACCTTTGCAGATTTGCAGCTGAAAATAGTGCTTTTTTTTTTTTTTTACAAACAAATAAAACATTTTTGGGCTTTCCTCTGATTGGCTGGCCCTCATAAACAAACAGAAAGTGTCAGAGGCTTATGTACTTACAGCCAGGGTTGTGTGCTTGAGATGACCGTTGGACTCTGAAGCCTGACCTTATTACAGTTAGCATCTGCCATTGTAACATTACACATATGACAAATAAAAACAGGCCCATTTCAAGTTGACAAAGCTATGATAAGATCAAAAACTTGTTGGTAGGGTGGCATGTAAAAGCATCCATTAAAGATGTTTTACAGACATCTGTAGGCATGAATGCCCCTGAAGGCCACTGCAGTAATCCCAGTTTGTCATTGTGCAGCAATGTGAGAGTTGGGACTTGGGGGGGGCAGCGGCTGGCAGGGTAGCTCACTGACCATGTGCCCCACTGTGAAAATCTGTCCTGGCAGTTACAGTGTCAGTGTGTAGGAATGTGCTGATGTGTGGGAGGAAGGGCAGGGTGAGGCTGGATGATGGAGGGTGTGGAGTGCAGTTGCACCTCAGTTCCTCTGGTAGTCCCAGCTGCATGTTTATCTCTCCATTGCCAGCTAATCTGTACTTTTCCTGTTTAAGTTACAATATGTAATGCACAACTCACCCATAAACAGTGCTGCAAATAATAGAGTACTTTCACGCTAGTGCTGCTTGTATGTCAGTGACTTTATTATTCGTGTTATCAACACTCCTACTTTGGAACATTTCAGAAACTTCTAATTGGCTTCATTTATATAACAGCTTCAGTTTCACAATGATAACATTAGAATATACAAACATGATTAAAGGCCCAGCATGCCCTTATAAACTAATAGGCATTCTCAGTCAGTATGATTCAGCATACTGACACCAAAGCTGTGTAAAACTCTGCAGGAACTTTCATGAGGGCCCCATGTGACAATAAAAATGATGATGCTGAAACTCCTGATGCGATCTATTAGTTTTAGTGATTTAGAGTATGCAATTTCTGGAAATATTACGGTGGGGTTGTTGATACTATAAAAGCTGCACAACTTTTTCGCTAAAAAAGATGGATTGAGATGGCATTTAAAGTTATATAACAAAACATTGGAAAACTGAAATAGAAGGCTTTTATTTTTGAAAATAAATCAGACTTCAAAGCATCTGTTACATTCCTAGAACTCTCTGTGGCTTTTATTTTGAAAACCATGTTTAAACTGGTCATGCCGATGTAACTGGGACTGTCATGTAAGTTTCCACCACTGCTTATAGCTGAGCTCATGAAACATAAGCGAAACTCCAAACTAGCATGAAATTTGACAGGTGCGACTGGTGAAATGTACCTTATCAATATTTACCATTTCCATAGATGTGGCCTAATTTTTCCGATTCACTTGTTGCTCTGGCTGTCATGCACCTACCAGCTTAAAAGCTCCACGAGCCCACACAGTTAGTGAAACAACTCCTAAATACCTTAGGGTGTAATCATCCATCCCGTCTATATTCTGACACTTCATCTCGAGGAGATAGTCGTCCCCCTGTGACGCAAAATCCTTAGAGCAGGACAGCACTTTACTGGCTGGAGTAAATCAAGTCTTGTGCAACATCCCTGCAATGTTTAAACAGTGCTGATAAATGTGTCACGGGTCAAATTCATACGGTTGTGCAGCTGATATGTATTGTTGTGACAGGTGTGTCCTCTTGTTGATATTAATTTGTTTGCCATTAGGATAGCATCTCAGTATAACGCAGCCTAATCAAAAAGCCTTAAATAGCCATAAAGAAGAACCAACACCTCTCTGAGTCTGGGTTAAACAGCACTGATTTTTGGCTAGATGCACCTATTAAAATGATAATTGATCTTGACAGCGCACAGTACGTTCAAATCTCAATTCATTATATTACTGCCTCAGGATATTAGGTTACATCAGCACAAGCCAAATATTCGATGTTCAGAGTGACTCAGCAGCTAACTGAACTTTGCTCTGTGTTTAAACAACAGTGAACTTTTCCCTGCAGTAGCACACGACCACCAGGTGCCGATCACGAAAAGGGAAAAACATCCAGCATAAACTTCAAAGGAAGTCAAAAGTGGTATTACAGGGCTTACATCAGCCCTCCGCTGCTCACATCTTAAAATAACCTTTCTCTTTCCATCACAGAGATGCCACGTTACATCAGTCAGCGTCACTTCCTGCAGTCACAAGCCGGGCGACCTTTCACACGGTGCCAGCTAAAACTTTAAAACCACAGGACCTGTGGGAAATTTTCTAGGGCAGGGGAACATTCTGATCTAGGTAGCACTTAGGAGTGGCTTTAAGTGCACTTTGCATTTCTGAGTGCAGTGGAGGCTTCTGGGTGATGTAGTAAAAACAGAGACCAGCTGAAGCATTACTGAGGCACTGGGTTTTGTTTTCAAGTCCAGTCCTCTGCTATATGCAGCTCAAACTGTGAGATTTAAGTAGAGCACAAAACCCACCAAACTGGCAAAGAATTAGTAAATTCATTCTGACTACAGAGAAGCAAGTCAGTCAAGTTGAGCAGCAGTAAATAATTCACACAGAGGCTGAACTGGATTGTGCAACTCAAGGGCAGGCTTCTGCCCTTCTCGTGATTATGACTGTGCACTTTTAGAAGGGGATTGCCCGCCTGACTCCAGCCCTGTGACATCATCGAAACTCAACTCCAGAGAGATCACCTGCATGTGACATAGCTGGGAAGGGAAAGGGTGAGGGGGTGGCGGGAGCGCTCCAGATCATCTTGCACGAGGTTGCGTGCCAAAACCTTGTTTAGAATACGCTCCAAGTTTTTTTCCACTCCTGTTTCCAGTAAGGACTCTCTGCACATTATTGGTCCTGAGGGGAGAAGCCAGAGTATTCTGAGCAAACCCTCAAGAGACCTGCACTAGCTCTCAATATTTTATTTAATTTTTTTAAAATGGTGTGGTACGTGATCCCCCCCCTCCCCCTCCTGAGGAAGTCAGCTAGTGAAAATGCAAACTGCCAACAACAAATCAGAGTATTGGTGAAACGGGAACCTGTTTGGATGAATGAGCAAGGTCCTGCTGACCGAGGCAGAAGCTGGAGCAGAGAGAGCTGCGAGGATTATTGTTCTCTTCAGCTCAGAGATGGCACTGAGGCCAACATGACCCCTGTGATCCACATGTGATCCACTTGCTAAAGGTCCCATTTCAGCTCAGCTTTGCTAAAATTTCCAGAAATGCAAAGGAGAGATCAACAAACGCAGTTCTTGTTCCAAAAACAAAATACTTTTATTGACACCAATACAGATAAGTGTCTTGTATTCAGATATTACAAATATTTTTTTATATATATAAAAAAAAAAAGAAAAAGGAAAAAAGAAACATAAATACACTTAAATATAATTAGAAATAATTTAAATTGTAACAAAAGAACTATTTCACTTGTGGCAAGAAGCCAGCTGGTATTAGAAACACTAGATACACAAAATGTCTTCACTGGATGTGTAGCCCTTCCCTTTTTTCTCTCTTTTTTAAATATAAATTATCACAACAGCAAAGTGAACATTAACAGTTTTTAATCAAACAAGTGAAACTGCAGTAGGTCCAGTGTTTCAACGAGTGCTTTGTTTCTGCAGAGAGAGGCCGAGGCCTTGGTCCACTCAACGGCTCCACGTTCTGGTTTCCCCACACTTTTCTGACTTCTCCGTCACAGAGTCCTTTACCAAACAAACACATGATAGTATCCGTCTGTACTGTGTCCAGCCAGTGTCACATTTAAAGAAAGAAAAGAAGAAGGAAAAAAAAAAAAGCATGCCATTTCCACTGTGTGATGATACAAGAACCTCGCCGTCTCATCTCGATTGCCAAGGCTGACAGATGCAACTCCAAACAGTCCTGTGAAAATCCAACTCCTGCTTTTTTCCCCCTCCTCATCCTTTAAATACATCATCTCATACAGAGAGCAAGGTTTTTTTCCCCCCTCTTTTCTTCCAGGTATTTTCTTCCCCCCCAAATCAGCAGTGCTTTGGAATTTGATCTTTGGATGGTAATCTGTGTCCATCAGGGTTCACGCCTCTCTTTGTGTGCAGATAAAATTCGTCTCTGGACACATTTTTGTCGCTGGTTAAAGTTCATCGTTCAGGCAAGTTGATGATGGGTACCCACTGGTCCATGCAGCGGCTCTCTCTGCAGAATCTGCTCAGTTTGCTCAGAGCTGGGTCCTTCCATGATGTAGAATGTGGGCTCTAAAAATACATATAAACAAAAGTATGTAAATGCCTGTTCATTTGTTTACTTCAAAGTACAGATAGTTCCTGTATGTGCTGGTAGATTCAAGGTATTTTCCTCCACCGTGATTCCTCAGAAGTCATGAGGGAGGAGTCATATTCATGTTTACTAAATTCACAAGAACAAGTACTGACATGTTTCCCATGTGAGTAAGAGTTTCAGGCATGTGCACAAAATTCTTATGGTTTTAGCTATAAAACCACATAGAGGAAGAGACACTTACAGTGACAAGGACACAGTGGAGGTCCAAAGGTTCGCCCCCGCTCTGTTTTCCACCTCCCCCACCACCCAATATTTGTGCCAGGCGCCTGGTGTTATTGACTTTCAGGATGTTGATGTCATTCTCGCAGCAAAAAGCCTGAATGAGAGTAAAGTGGATCTGCAGGGCCACGTCTTTAACGTCCTCTTCATCTGCAGCCAGGACGCACAGAACCACATTATCAGGGTCTCTGCGGGAAAGAGAGAGAGGCGCTGTTAGTCTATGAGGTCATGCATGTACATGCTGCATGGGCTGCTTTCACACAGGGGCAACTTGTTGCAAACTTCAGGACATACGTTGCACTTACACATTGAGCGACTTGGCAGCCTCGTAGACGCCGACTGTAATGCCTCCCTGTGGCAGCGCAGAGGTGAGGACTTCCTCCAAAGCTTTGGCCACCGTGTCCATTCTGCAACACACAGTTTCACTTTAACAAACGTTGCAACAGCAGTTTTAACACACACACATAAACCCAAGGAAAACCCCCACCGTACTCTGTCTGGGTAGCGTTAGCTAATCGGACTCCTAGCTAACCAGCCGGTATTCCCTGACTTCGAGCACAACTGACAGCCGTGCAAGGTTTGTTTAACCACTAAAAATAAAAAACAAGCTAACTCTTGTCAGTTTTGCGGTTTGAGTCCCTTTGACTAGCTTTAATTAGCTCTCTAGTGAGAAATCTGGTGTTTTTCGGTCACCTAAAAGCACACAGCAGCAGCTACGTTAGCTAAGTGGAGACCGGGGCTCGCGACCGGAGCGGTTAACTGAAAAGACACCGGACTGTAGCACCGACAGCTCGCTGGGAAACACCGTCCACACAGCAGCTACAGGCAAACCCCCCCACAAACCTGGATTTATCTTTATCGTGCACTTATCTAATTAATGCATGCGATTAGCTGCACATAAACCACAGCAAGCTTTAAAATACAAATAATCCAAATTATTTACCTTTCCTGAGAATAATCCGCATTTAGTTCCTCAAATGTCATGTTGTACATAAAATCCAAATCCACCTTTAGCGCAAACAGTACAGTGCTGGTGAGGTATCCTAGTGTCTTCTCGACTTGACACACTTTTTTTTTTATCTTTACTCCACTGTGCTGCAACTGAGAGATAAATCTGGCAACTTCACATTATAAGAGTCCGAGAGAAAGCCCGGCTCTCTCCATTGGTGGTATGCTAATTCTCCTGCTGTGGGATTGGACACATAGGACAGCAGGCGTGTCTGTCTCTTGTCGGGTTACTACCGCAACTGTAGCTGTCTGCTGACCTCCCAACAGTTACACAAAACTACTATTCACTCATATTTCCTCACTAACCTGCCTGCAGCTATGTATGTGTGTATGTACAAAGCTTTAGCCTTAATGTTGCCGGTGACCCACTACTGAAGCCAAACCTTGTCCAGCACAGGTATGATTTTATGATGATACAATGACGTAAAGCAACGTTAGAGCAGCCCGACACGAAACAACACGAAATGTTTGAAACTTCATCACTGAAAGCGAGTGTTTAATGAAATAAAGTGTGAAAAATCTGCTGCAGAACTCACCCTCACTCCCGGACAGGACACAGCGGACATCAGGACAACTGCATGGCAACGGGACGCCGCTTAGGAATGCTGCCCTCTGATTGGTCGACAGTAGAGCGTGCGAAAATACACCGAAACCGCGCGCGAGATCTAAAAAGGACTGGCGCGAGAAAGACCAGCGAGTGGAGGCAAGACTCTTGTGACCCACTTACATCACCTGAGCTACTAAAGCAACGGTTCCTTTACAAAACAGCACTGCTCATCCCTTCCTGTTTCATTTAGATTTAAGCTTTGATTCCAAAGTAAGAATTTTCTTTTATCATGGAGAGACAAAAGTAAATAAATAAATAACTAAATAAAATAAAAATAAAATAAAATAATAAATAAGATTTGGTTGCCTACAATTTTCCCAATATTTGAGATATTACAGCAGTTTAAAAGTAAGTAGGTATATTTATTTTTCTAAAGCAAATTTAAAACTAAAGTGCTTTACAGTAAAACAAAATAGTATAAATGGGTTTATGCCACACACTTTCACAATGTTTACATGAAATAACCTGAAAGCAACCAATCCTCCAATCACAGTTCCAGACATCAGTTTCTCATATATCTTGACAGAGAACTGATGTCATTCCAGAGTTTTGAAATAAGCTATGACCACAGGGTGATCAGAAGTGACTTAGAAGCAGACCTTAATGGTCTTGAGGGAATATATGGCCACAGCATACTACATATACAGCTGCAAGACTTTTTAAAGGCTTTACACACAAATATGGCTCCTAACACAGATCTCTCTTTTTCGTTCCAGTCAGTAATCTGGCTGCAGCATTTTGGACTAATTGTATATGGGAAAGAGATGATTGTCAGTGTAACCTTACTATGACCACTATTATTTAAAATGTAATTAGAGAGAAACTTTGGTTGGTTAAATGTAGTTAAATGTAGTAAGCTAGTAGTAGCTAAGCTCACCTTTACATCACTTTTCCAAACCAACAACAGTAGTATTTATTTTTATTAAAAATTGTATTCAGATACAAGTTTTGTTGTGAAATTTAAAGCCAAATGTAAGAAACCCTTAAACCAGATTAATATCCTGTTAAATGTTTAAAATCTGGGTTTGTATTATAGTTGAAAATAAAATAATTTAGCTTTTCCATTGGTTTTTCAATATATTTGTAATCTTCAGTGTCACTTATTTTAATGATGTTGATATTTAGGAGCAGCAACGATGCTCCACCTGAGCATCGTTGCTGCTCCAGGTGGAGGAGTTTAGGTATCTCAGGGTCTTGTTCACAATTGAGCGGAGAGCCACTCCAAAGGGTGGCTGGCCTCTCCCTTAGAGAGAGGGTGAGAAGTTCAATCATTCAAGAAGGGCTCAGACTAGAACTGCTACTCATCAAAAGGAGCCAGTTGGGGGGTTCAGGCTTCTAACTTTAGGCGTCTCCCAGGTGAGACGTTCCAGGCATGTACCACCAGGAGGAGTCCCTGCTGCCCCTGTGACCCGGCCGCCGATAAGTGGAAGAAAATGGATGGGTGGATGACATAATTGTTTATATCACATGTACAGTTTTTGGTAACAGTGTAATAATGTAGCTTGATTGTCTGTCTTGAGGTCTGTTTTATAGCAAATGTATAAAAAAGTTTTAAGAAGAGCAAATACAAGTTGGTGTTCTAAAGAATATAGTTGTTTCCTTGCAGCAGGAGAGATGAGCTCTCCTTCATAGATGGTGCAGTCAGTGAGGATGGTCACCTGCAGGGTGAAGGTTATTGGATCTCCAAACCACATCAACTGCTTCTCAAATTAAGAAAGTTGGGGCAATGTTAAAGACTTTCTGCTGCACCTACATTTAGATCACCCAAATCCATGACAGTCATTCAGGGAGTAATGCCTAAAACATCCTCAAAAATATTACAACATACCAAGCTTCTGGGTCTGAATGCAAAACAGATACGCTGTTTGAGCCTCCTTGAGACTGCAGTTGTTGCTGAACAATAAATACATTTTATATTGATTATATCAATGATGTAACTTGCAATACAAATTTATGGGAGGCTTCTGTTCACTAGAACAGTATCCAGCATATTGGCTGATATACTTTATTGCATCTGAAGATAAAAGTTGGGCTGATTTTTCATTGCCTCAAAAGAAATGTTTTTAATTATTATTTTGTAATCATACTTACACACTGTGTTTACATTGATTAAGTGTTGCACTAGAAATTGCTTAAGCTCAAGGATGATAATGTAATGTGATTAAGTTAACCCATTAAGAAATGTTTATGTCAGTAGATAAAACATTAAGTATTGCTCACTCAGAAAAGTGATTTTTAGTACTGTGTACTCACAATAAATAAGTTATCCTAACTTACTCTTAAGTACGCTTTACTTAGTTTTTTTCAGGAAATGAGTTTATGTAATTTTTTTTAAAGTTCTGGGAACTAATTAGACTTTACAGTGTAGGCTAAATCTTTCTGTTTAATCAGGCCTTCTGTTGTAATTTTCCTTTGTTATTTATGTTTTTTAATTTTTATTCTGTTTGAATATGGTTCTAATATTCGTCTTTTAATTGTCATATTGAGTTTTATAAAGCGCTGTATAAATACTTCGAATTCTCAAAGTTAGTATATTTGGAAGTCTTCTCTTTTCTGTCCCAGTAAAACCATTAGTCACTGAATAAAGCTAAATATAATATAATGACATAACATGATGTGCTGGCCTGTCACAGGAGCACATTCAGAGAGAGACTGAGGTTATCCAAACGCACCACTGAATGACACAATAGATCATTCCTGTCTGTGGCTAAAGTTAAAGTATCTTGTGGATAGAATTAGCAATATTAGCTACTTAAAGTAGGGTAATTTGGTGTGATTTTGTATTCTGTTGTTGGTTAGTGTAGTTTAAAATCTATTTCCTAAATAAATAAAACTATTTTACCTGAATGCATTTTTATTCCTAGTTTCATGTAAATGTTCCTGACCAGCATCTACTTTTTTGAGCCTTATCTTGGCCTTGCTGTTATCCTGAATACAGACTTTACATTAATAAAAGAAAGCTGCTATTCATATCCCATATCCTGTATGCACTTGTGTTTTGATTGTTCAACATCTCAGTAACTCACCTCTGTGCAAACAGCGGATGATCAGATAGCTTCTTCATACCACAGTTTCCCAGTTTCTCTCCCTCCACTGAGCATTTCCAGGTTTCTCAAGAGCAGGATAAAGAGCTTACACAGTTTTCTGACACTTGGATACAGGATACACACAACACTGGTACAGTCTACCAGTGTGTACATAGCTTACTTACTGATACCTGGACAGTTATATATTCAGGGTAGCTTAAACAACAGTGGTCGCATTGTGATAAGTGGCAAGTTACTCCTGGACAACACATGGAAAATATAAAAAAAAAGTTAAAGGAAACCATTCTGCAGATGGTAGGGGGTGTTATGCTGCCCCTTGGTGGCTGCAGACAAAAATTACTGTGGAAATATCTTCGCTCTGTGACAGCTCGGATAGGTTGCACATTTCTCAACATACCATAGTCCACGATTACTTTATGATTAAATGTGTTTTGCTTGGAGTATCAAGCTTAAAAATGTATTCTTGTCCTATTGTTTTTATTTAAGGATGCAATTATTTTTTTTTTTATCACATTAAGAAAATGGTTAAGCTACTTTACTGCTTAACAAAGACATCAGGTGTATCCAATGAACAAGACTTAACTAGAAACAAGAGTGGGGGGGTCGATCCAAATATGAATAGAATCAATGCCAGTGCTTGTATTGATATCAGATCGATTCTAGTGGTAGCGTTAGGATCAATTCTTTGTTTCTATCTTCTAAGTACAGTATATATAAATATGTAGAGATATTTTTTCACACATGCATGTTGAAAAATATCTGAACCTTTTGGTGTTGATTGTCATGTCTATTTTATATATAGCCTATAGCACATTTAAACAACAGAAGCTGACACAAAGTACTACAGAGACAGGAACAGTTTCACAATACATGAAAAGCTGAAAGGTGTGTTTTGTTGAATTAACTCATTATGTAAGAAAGTAAAAATCCCTGTGATTTAGCAGTCATTAAAATATGTTCTCAATGTGTAAATAAATAATGACTCATCTCATCAGTCATGACACACTGCTCGGCCATAAGCTGCCTTTGTAGAATAAAAGCATCGGCAATGCTGGCCCTGTATTTACTTGGTTTGGTCAAACCAAAATTTGAAATATCGCACAGCTCTACTAGAAACATGTTTTATTTGCAGCAACATACAAAACTAATCGGCTTTCCTGACCTACAGTGTAATGGCTCAAAGCCATGAAGGTCAAAAAGTATAAATAATTCATACTGAAGAAATCTATCATTCTTCCATCACTGTCTGCTACACATAAAGACCATCTCCAAGAATGAAGCACGATATCTGATATCTGTGACTGATATCTGCCTCCTAACTTGGATACTGGTTTCAACCTTTTTTGGTGCTAAGGTACGTCAGAGGTCAAACCACAGATCAACATCATCACCACAGATCTTTAGAGCACAGCAATTGTAATGTAAACATACTGATAATTGTTAAATATTTGAATGGTTTTG